CAGACAGAGCGATTGTCACCAGGGTTGTTTAACTCCGCAGTTAACCCTTTAACCACAAACGTTCACTGCCACCATATGTTTTTTTATGGAAACACAGACCTTAAACAATGCCTATTGTCTCAGACAGTATTCAGCTGGGCGGATCCCGCCTTCTAAGTCGGGATCCGCTGCGGCTGTAGCTCGCGGTATACTGAGCTTAGGTTAACGGGAGGACACTAGTTTGTGTCCTCCCGTTACCCTAAGGACAACTATGGGGAAAAACACTGACCCCATAGTTCTCCTTTAATGATTTTCAGATTGTCATTAAATGAAAGAAACAGTGCAGAAAATATAAAGAAAAATATATAAATAAAAAGAGACAAAATATATATACAACAGTAAAATAAAAGGCACTAAAAGGTGAATACTTAACAGTCCTGGTTTTAGGAGTTCTGACAGAGTTCAGAGCTCAGTAAGCAAAAGAGAAGTCTGCAGGGCTCTTCTTCAAGCAAGCTTTCAGCAGATGATGTCCAGAGATAGAAGGGGAACTCTTCTGCGATATTAAGACTTCTTGAGGTTACTGGAGTTCCTTTCTGGATGTTTCTTTCTTGATGGAGCCGGCCCTAGGGCAGGGCTGGGGAGGAGTAGGATTTTACAATATCACCACTCAATTCCAAATTATGAAAAGTAGCTGATATTGTAACTCAGGTTTATGACATTTGGGTCAATGCTGGGTCACCTGGGTCATTACCTCTACCAGACATGCTTGTTTATATTAACTTGTCCCCTGGTAATAGATGAGTGGCCGGTGACATGCCTTTAATTACGGACAGCTAAGGCTTAGAGGGCTATTTGGGACTCACTTGTCTTGGGGAGCAATAAAGATCACAGGCCAGATAAGTAGATCTCTGTTCTGTGGAATGTGGAAGGATCTGACAAATGACTAAATGAAAGCCTGCATTTGCTCTGAACTGGGGGACAAGAGAATGCTATTTTTAATATTCAGACTCAATCGTTACAATTTGATTCCATTATAGTACAATACTTTTAGTTCTATACCACATGAGGGGGGCATAAAACCTCGAAGGATTGACAGCATTTCAAATCCCACTAAAAACAACATTCAATGGACATCTATTGTCTGTGGGTACGGCTGCAACTACTTTTTTCTTGGTACTACTACCTATCAAGTTTGTGCCCCACAAATCTTCACTGTTATAATAGCCAGGGAACAGAAGTAAGTATATTTCAAATAACTATAATATATAATAATAATATGATTTTATCTGCAGTCTAATATGAGACAAATGTATACAGCAGAGAATCTGACATTCAGCAAAAATTAACTACAAGGCAATCTTCGAGGTCCATGTGTTTTAAATAAGGGAAAGAAAACAGAAGAGCGCCAGAACAAAATGAATGTTAGTTGATTGTGTTGGTCAAACAGCACAGATGAAAGTAATCATCAGCACTCATGGGATGCAAACTTCTTGTAAATTTTTTATTGAACATGAGTCATATGCATCAATAAAACTAACTTTTCAGGGCACGCAGGGTCTCTTCCCCAGGGAGACATAGTGGTCATGGTCACCCCATAGTGGTTGAACCCTTTGCTATGGGAGCCGAATATTTTCAAGGCCAGTTTACAAGTAGCTGGGCATTGCCATGGGAAAAGTGTACCAATGAAAAAATAATGTTTAAACTATACTGTTCAGTAGTGAAGAGTTTTTTTAATAAGGCTTAAAAGGCAACATCAAAAATACACAATTCTTGAATATGCTTGGGGGATACCTTAAACCTGCACATGAAGTGGTGTAAAGACCGTATTGAGAGAGTGGTGATCAAGGATTCATACTCTGAATGGTCAGAGGTTGTTAGTGGTGTCCCCCAAGGTTCAGTGTTGGACTGGATTAAAAGTACTATTTCCGTGTTTGCAGATGACACCAAGTTATGTAGTGGAATACAGTCCTTACAGGATGTCTCCAACTTACAAGCAGATTCAAGTATAGTCCACTGCGTGATTGGGCATCTATTTGGCAAATTAGGTTTAATGTTGATAAAAGTAAAGTTATGCACTTGGGGACTAAAAACATGCGTGTGTCATACACTCTAGGGGGAGAAAGATTTGGGTGTTCTGGTAGATCATAGACTCAATAATAGCATGCAATGTCAAGCTGCAGTTTCTAAATGCTTTCTTGTATTAAAAGGGTATAGACTCCAGAAATAGATACATAATCCTGCCCCCTGTACAAAGCATTAGTAAGACCTCATCTGGAATATGCAGTTCAGTTTTGGGCACAAGTTCACAAAAAGGATGTTGTGGAACTGAAGAAAGTGCAGCGAAGGGCGACTAAACTCATAAGAGGCATGGAGGAGCTCAGCTATGAGGAAAGATTTGGTTACAACAAAAATCTGCGCTCGTGGAAAAATTATGCTAAGATGTTTAAATGGTGATCCTAAAGCTGCTATGAGGAAAGATTAGCTGACCTGAATTTGATCTCTCTAGAGAAGAGGCGATTAAGGGGGGACATGCTCACCATCTATAAATACATAAATGGTCCATATAGTGAGCTTGGTGCCAAATTATTCACGTTAAGGTCACTGCAAAGGACAAGGGGGCACTCTTTGCGTCTGGAGGAAAAGAGGTTTAACCTTTGCGGAAAGGATTCTTCACAGTTAGAGCTGTGAAAATGTGGAATATACTCCCCCAGGAGCTAGTTCTAGCTAGCTCAGTTAATTGTTTTTAAAAACATCTGGATGTATTTTTAAATGCACAGAATATTAATGGATAGTGAGTTCTTCTAGGTATATTAAGCATCAGAGATTGTTGATCCAGGGAATATCCGATTGCTTTATGGGATCGGGAAGGAATTTTTTCCCCCTGTTGGAGCAAATTGAACCATGCTTTATAGGGGTTTTTTTTTACTTCCTCTGGATCAACAGCTGTGGGCATAGCATTCTCTTTAGGTTTTTCTTCTCTTTTTTTGTTCTGTTTTTTTCTTCTCCATATCTCTATAGGTTGAACTCGATGGACATGTGTCTATTTTTCAACCTAACTAACCATGACTAACTATGTAACTATGTTCAGTAGGGAAGAGGTTTTTTAATAAGGCTTAAAAGGCAACATTAAAAATACACAATTCTTTAATATGCTTGGGGATGCCATAAACCTGCACATGAAGTGTTGTACCTGTACAACGTACTTCAGCAAAAGTGACATTTAGAAAGACAAAAATGCATTTGCTGCTAAATTACATTTTCTGGTCACTTTGTTTTGTTTATAAAAGAAGTCATGTAGCTTTGCGTGCACATATCTTGCTAATTCACAAGGAAGGTAAGGACCCCTCTCAATCGTTCCATCCCTCTTCTTAACGTTGACTTAAACATTTTTACGAAAATCCTTGCTAACTACCTTCTCCCCCATCTACAAAAGCTTATTCACTTGGATCAGGTGGGCTTTATTCTGGGTAGGGAGGCTAAGGATAACACCACAAGAGCACTAAACTTGATTCACGTCTCACACCGATTTCGACACCCCACTATCTTAGTGTCCACCGATGCTGAAAAAGCTTTCGACAGATTGGTCATTCCTGCAATCCACTTTGTAGTATGTTGGTCCATATGCTCTCATGGATTGCAGCTGTTTACTCTACCCCGACAGCGACCGTCTGTGTCAATGAGGCTCTCTCTGACTCTTTTGGTCTCGGTAATGGCACAAGCCAGGGTTGTCCTCTCTCCCCTTTGATTTTTGTTTTAACACCCTGCTTTGTCATATTCGCTCCAACTGAGATATCCTGGGAATCTCTCTTTGATTGGTTTCCCATAAGGTCGCGGAATTTGCTGGTGACCTGCTTTTCCTTGTCACACAGCCAGCGACCTCTCTTCCTTCTTTGCTAAAAGTGGTTGATCATTATTGTCGCCTCTCAAATTTTAAGATTAACTGGCCTAAATCTGAGGCCCTGAATATTAATGTTCCGGCTGGCCCTCTTCAAGCGCTTCAGAGTAGTTTTCGGTTTAAATGGGCACCAACGTATATTAAATATCTTGGGGTGAACCTATATTTCCCTGGACAAAGTTTTTTTCCCTAAATTTCTACTTGCCTCCATTAGGAGAGACCTGAAGGCATGGGACAGAGACGCCTTCTATTGGTTTGGGAGGAATAACATCCTCAAAATTATCATCCTTCTCTCTCTTATCTCTTATCGTCACAATTTGATTCCATTATAGTACAATACTTTTAGTTCTATACCACATGAGGGGGGCATAAAACCTCGAAGGATTGACAGCATTTCAAATCCCACTAAAAACAACATTCAATGGACATCTATTGTCTGTGGGTACGGCTGCAACTACTTTTTTCTTGGTACTACTACCTATCAAGTTTGTGCCCCACAAATCTTCACTGTTATAATAGCCAGGGAACAGAAGTAAGTATATTTCAAATAACTATAATATATAATAATAATATGATTTTATCTGCAGTCTAATATGAGACAAATGTATACAGCAGAGAATCTGACATTCAGCAAAAATTAACTACAAGGCAATCTTCGAGGTCCATGTGTTTTAAATAAGGGACAGAAAACAGAAGAGCGCCAGAACAAAATGAATGTTAGAGTCCATTAAAAAAAACAGCGATTGTGTTGGTCAAACAGCACAGATGAAAGTAATCATCAGCACTCATGGGATGCAAACTTCTTGTAAATTTTTTATTGAACATGAGTCATATGCATCAATCAAACCAACTTTTCAGGGCACACAGGGTCTCTTCCCCAGGGAGACATAGTGGTCATAGTCACCCCATAGTGGTTGAACCCTTTGCTATGGGAGCCGAATATTTTCAAGGCCAGTTTACAAGTAGCTGGGCATTGCCATGGGAAAAGTGTACCAATGAAAAAATAATGTTTAAACTATACTGTTCAGTAGTGAAGAGTTTTTTTAATAAGGCTTAAAAGGCAACATCAAAAATACACAATTCTTGAATATGCTTGGGGGATACCTTAAACCTGCACATGAAGTGGTGTAAAGACCGTATTGAGAGAGTGGTGATCAAGGATTCATACTCTGAATGGTCAGAGGTTGTTAGTGGTGTCCCCCAAGGTTCAGTGTTGGACTGGATTAAAAGTACTATTTCCGTGTTTGCAGATGACACCAAGTTATGTAGTTCTAGACCCTTCTGATTAGGATTCGTGGCAGCTTTCTTCACTCCATACGCGCTGAATTTAGGAACGTCTTATGGGTGAATAGGCTGGTTCTGGGTTAACCAGACAAACTAAATGGAGGGATTGGATTCCCTGATCTGGTCCTCTATTATAGGGCTTCCCATTTGTCCAGGGTATTTCTCCAAATTGTGGGTCCACATAGAACAATAGCAACACAACCAGCTTTGAATTATTCTCTCCCATCCTACGATTGGTGCAACCTGGTTAGTACTGAAACAGGTGCGGAGCCTTCTCAGAGAACCTGCTAATTTAACCGTTCCTCTCCAATCATTGGTCACCCCCTCTTTTTTCCAGGCCGTTTAGATCCTCTGGTCCAAGCCAATCAGTTCAGGGCCTTTCACTTCATCTACTCAGGAACCTTGGCCTCCATTCAGGAGGCCCTTTGGAGGGCATCCAAGCTTCAACACTTTTTACTTACCTTGTCCAAACCTGAAGATCTATAAGAGGGCTCCTTTTGAAGCTTTATGGCTAGATCCCGTCCCACTGCGCTACACGCTCTAATGAGGAAGTTCTGAGTTATCTCAAACTGGCAGAGGGACTTGTGTGATATGTCAATTTGCCTTCTCTGATGGATCTCAACTGCGGATACACAGGTCAGTGGTATTTGCAGGTAATGGGTTTGAGGCCTGTATTAGATCATGCAGTCACTGAGGAAATGCGTGCAACGCAGGCAAGGATTTGAGACACCCTGGCAATGATGATGCGTGGAACACAGGTTATATGAGACCTGTATTTCATCATACAGGATGTTAAAACCATGAAACCAGATATTGAAATATGTATGTGTGAACCTTATATGATGATTGATTTTCTATATTTTAATCTATCCAAGTTTAGAGATGCAGTTTTGACTGGTGCTGCTGATGTTTAGTTTACAATTGGTAAACAATCAGTAAGCTTGACAGGCAGACCTAAGTATAGTTGAAACAGTTGTTAGGAATGCTCAAGAAGACTTGGCCTTTAAAATGAGTTTGTAGAGTAAAACACATGACTCAGGACAAAATGGGATTGAAGGAGAACACATGACTCAGCTATAAAGAGTATGGCACTCCCTTATGCTAATCAGAAAGACTTTTAAGGTAAACATCACATAGGTTATTTTAAAGTAAAAGCATGAATAAAAAGACACACTCATTCACACTACAGATCCACAGACACACACATATGCACAGACAGACACATCACAAAGACACCCCCACACTCACAATGAATAGAAACACCTGTTAGGACTATTTTTTACTTACTAACCAAAGACACGTATCTTATAGATTTCTGCTGTAAGATATACTATATTTTGTAATCATCAAGCATCTTATAGACTCATTCTGTAAGATATACCATATCCTGTAATATTTTGTAACTTTAAATTAAACACATTCTGAACTTTGTGCAACAACGGAAACAATCATCTATTATTGAACTTTTCCACCCTATGCTTAGAGAAAAGGAATATGACATAAAAAAAGAAATCATATTTTGTGTCATTTTCTTACACAGGAGCACAATAAAGTCACTCACAGATTATATTTATATAATTAAACAGTAGTACTTGCGGTCAGTAGAGTCTTCCCAGACTAGTTGTAAGTGTATTCGTGCACAGACTCAGTTGCAGGGAGATGTATCTGGAGGCAAAGCAGCTGCAAGTTGATTAAAGGGACATCCTAAAACATTTAATGTGAAAATGGCTTAATGTAGCTTAATGTACCATAATGTGCCTAAAACTCAATAAATTGCCTTGAAACTTTGCATAATCCATGTGCTCAGCTTCCCAAACCTATATTTGAAGTTTCATGGATTTTGGTTACCCACAAGGCAAATGAGTGACAGTAAGCTTGTTTTTTGGGGAGCTTAATGTGGCTTAACGTACAAAATACAACTTAGATGTTAATCAATTTCTCCCAAACTTCCAAAACCACACGACTCTATCTATGCCAACATATTCTGAAGATTTGGGGTCATTTGATAAAACATACCAAAAGTTATTCACATTAAACTATTTTATTACATTCCTGGAAAACATTTAGCTTAATGTAAGAAGAGCTTAATGTACCATAATGTGCTTAAACCTCAATCAAATGCCTTAAAACTTTGCACAACCCAAGTTCTCCGCTTCCAAATCCTATCCCCTGGAAGTTTCATGGATTTTGGTTACCCACAGGGCAAATGAGTGAGATTAAGCTTGTTTTTTGGGACACTTAAAAGACATTTCCACCTTTGTAAGTGATTTTGAGTTTTTGGTGGCAATGGGGAGGTGCAGGGGGGATGTACATGTGTGTGCATTCTTAGGAGTCACAGAGCTATATTTCATACTTTATTTTATAGATTCTTTTACAGGCCAGAAGCCTAGAAGTTCAAAATTCCCTCCACAATATCCTTAATCCGTCCCTCTCACAGGGTCGGGTTGTTATCTCTAAACTGCAATTAGCTGTTTTCACCTCCTCCCCCCTCTGCTCTGTGGAGAGACAGCAGGATGAGTCATAGTTCTGTGTGTCTGTGTGAGTGTTAGGACACAGAGAGAAGTCTATAGAACAGGACAAGTGAAAGTATATTCTTTGTCTCTCTCAGACAGTGGCGACTCTAGGAACAATATATAGGGGGGGCACATAAGATACCACAGTCAAAATGGGGGGGCACTAATAATTTTCACCACTAAAAAAAACTAAAGAAGTATATATGAATAAGATTACAAAATACGAGAGTAATGCGGTATGCGGTGATACCTTTTTATTGTACTAACCTTAGAAGACGAGCTTTCAAGAGTTTTTCTTTCTTCCTCAGGTATTGCTTCAGACTTGAGAAAGAGGAAAACTCTCAAAAGCTTCAATTTCAGCAAACACCAGGGCTGTGTACCACCTATAGCCATAGAGGACTACAAACCGCAGCAATACATT